TCTGGAAGAGTTTGCGGAAAATAATAGCATGGGTGTTCTTCACATTCCAATAGCATAAAAATAAGATGGCAGCGGATAGTTACTATTCAGTTGTAAAACCCACCAGGTTCTAGAGAATTGGGTTTGCAAAAGGATTTTTGAATAACTTGGGACTCTTGTTACTAGTGGATGGCTACCTAACTTCTTGGACAATTTAAGTTAAAGAATAGCCCAGAAAGAAGTCAAACTAATTTTGTATCTAAATAACTTGAAGAAAGCAAATTGAAATTTATTCCCTTCCGTTGACCCCACTTTCCAATGAAAATGTTTTACTATAAAGATATGGTCCAAAAAATTATGTTTATTTTTCTTCATGCTGTTTTCATATGCCCTTCGTGTAGCAAGCACTGTTATGCCATGGCAATTACTCTGAGGTGGGGAAACAGGAAATAAGCTGTTGTGTTCTTTGCAATGGCTTCCCATTCATCTGTGTCTCAACCATTGGGAGTTTCACAGAACCCAATGAGTCCTGATTTGGGTTAGTTTTATCTTCATGAAAAGTTAGAAAATGGCATTTCTTTTCTGGGTATTATTTGTCTTTATCCTTAACTCTGCAAACATGTTACAACAAGAAGTGTTGGCTATTGATATATGTTAGTGGTTTTAAAGTTTTTTATTTATTATTTATATTATTTTATTGTTTTGGGGAGACACGATCTCACTCTATTGCCAGGCTGGAGTGCAGTGGCACGATCATAGCACACTGCAGCCTTGAGCTCCTTAGGATCAAGAACTTCTCCTGCCTCAGCCTCCTAAGTATCTGGGACTAAAGGTGTGAGCCACCACACGTGTCTAATTCTTGTTTAAAATTTATTTCTGTAGAGACAGGATCTCACTATGGTGCTCAGTCCAGTCTGGAACTGCTGGCCTTTGGCAATCCTCCCACCTCAGCCTCCCAAAGTGCTGGGATTGCAGATGTGAGCCACTATGCCCAGTCTATTTTAGTGTTTTTTTCTCCTTTAAGAAAAAAATCCCCTTAGACAGACGAGGAGGAAAAGTAAAGGAAATAAGTGATATTTATGGAGTGATTATCCAGCGTCCAGTCTTATGCTGGGTGCTTATATAGTTTATTGCAATGTTAATCCCATATTAGAGATGAAGAAACAATCACATTTTGATGTGCATAGATCTCTAATTTAGCTTTTTTGTTGGCAGGCTTTGATTGGTTCAAAATTTAATAGGGCATTTTGTTTGTTTCCTTTCATATTAAAACACAATTCTTCTACCAGATCCCTAAAAATCTGTGGCCAGCAGGTATTAGCATGGAGATGAATATTAGTTTAAATATTGATTTCTGTTATGTTAATAAAATGGTGACGGCATTTGTAGGCCTCCAATGCACACATTTCATTACCTAAAACAAGAGAATTTGCCTCTGGCCACCCTTCCTGGAACGAGTCCTGAAATTCATTATGATTAAACCATCTTCGGTCTTACGTGCAGCCTGAACTAGTAATTGTGATTAGGGGTGAGGGAGGGGTGAAATGTACTGCTCTGTTTAACATAGCCCAAGTCAAGAATCCCATCCTTGGAGTTGAGACAGAGTCAACTTTTCAAAACGACATTGATCTTGAAATGGAAGTGGCAGACTTTGAGGAAGGTAGGTAGATATGGGAGTCTGGGAGCCAGGCAAAACCAACTGTCCACAATATCATTCATTCTTTCAAAGACGCATCTAGAGAGCACTCTTGCTAAGAACGGTTGGGGAAACTGACAAGAATTAGACATAGTTCCCATCCTGGCTGCCTATAACTTATTATGGAGAAGGAGGGGGCTAAATTAATAACTGTAATCAAAACTTGAAATGCTGTGACATAAAGGTGGCAACTACCTATTACAGGGAGAAGGAGAATTACTTTTGGGTAGAAATAATGGAAAATTTTTAAAGGAGGTGAAAGATTTCTTAGAGGTAGAAGGGGTACTTAGGAATTTTTTTGGCTGTGCGTGATATGATGCTGAGAGAAACTGGGACACAGGGAGAGTAAGACTTGTTAGCGCACAGGATAGACAGAAGGATGAGAAGAAGACGTAATGTGCAGGGCTTTAGCAGAAGATATAGCGCTCCAAAGAACGAAAATTACCCAATTTCACTGTTTTATTTGGGATCAGCTTTTCCAATAAGGGTGGTCAAAAAATCAGAAGTATGTGGACAAAAGTATCATTTCTTGTTGGCTGAAACGGTAACTTCTATATTCTTTGGTGAGTTAGCTGTTCAGAAAACCAGCGTATTGCAAAGTATATTTTCTGTCAGTTTATATGATTCCGTCTTAAGAATTTCTATCTCTGAATAAAGTGTCAACTATACTTGTTTCTTTATATCTCTTTTGCTCTCAAAGAAGACACAAAGTACCTGAGCTTTCAACTCAAGTTCCTTGTTTCCAAATATTAAGGGGAGGGTTTTTCTTTACAGACTGGATTTGGATAAAGTGCCTGCCATGGGGCTGAGGGTGTTGTGAGCATTTTTAGGACTCAGCTCCATGTAACTTTCCAAGGAAGCTAGGTGAGAGGTTCTCTATCTAAGAGCCTCAAATTTCCGTGATGGATCTGATCAAAAGATGATAAACCCATGTCCAAACCATGGGTGCATCTGACGATGGATAGGCCTTGCTAATTATGTGTGTCTTCTACTAAGGTGAAAATTTGCTTCACATCCTAAACAACTAATAGACACTATGAGGGAATGAGGTTCAGAAAACATGCATGAAGCCTTGCTAGAAGTCAACGAAAAGCTGTTTTCAAATCTACGAAAAGGAAAGCTAAGCTTCTTTCTTCTACATTTAAAGTAGGTGATCTAAAAGTGAACCAATGAAAGAGAACTGGAAGTATATTTCTTACTGAAATCTCCCTTCCCCACAAAGGTTAAGAGGATTGAGGACAGCTCTGAGAAAGAAGGACTAGACAGTCAAAGCCTATATGAAGGTTGTGTATTTGCTGATTGATGTGTTTCAGACCATCATGGAAAAGACTACCGTATTCATTAACAAACATTTCAACATGAATGCCTGTCTCTTGTGGCTCATGCTGCTCCATCTCTCACATTTTCTGCCCCCTCTTTCTTTCCCTCACCCCCTCTCTGCATGCCAAATCCTTTCTACTTTTAAGTGTCACTTCAAAAGTAGCTTCCTGCATGAAGCCTTTCCAGATTCCTTCTTCTCCCCGTTTCGTTTGGCTCCTTCTCTCACCACAATGCCCTGATGCACTATCTTATTTTACCTTCATGAATTTCTACAACATGGATCTGTCTCCTTCACTAAATTGCAAGCTACTTGAGGGAAGGACCACTCTTCTTTTACTCTGTGTCCCTCCTTGATTACTGAAAAATCTTTATACATCACTTGGGCAAAAACATGTATCTTAAATATGATTGTTTATATTTCTCATAAATATAATTGTTAAGTAGAATTGTGTGATAAAAGTACCAGGAAATGGATGCCCAGGTCTCATAGCATTACAAAGTATTCCTTCTTCTCTCTGGGTTGAAATAAGTCAATTATATTGAAAGTTAGAATTGTTATAAAGTTTATAACTAGTAAGGGTGATTAGAAGCCCTAAATCCAGCAAATGTTCAGCAAAGTATTTAGTGTTTACTAGGTACCTAGTATCATGCTAGTGATGAACTGAATAGTCCCTCTCACCACCCTCATGGAGACTATAGTCTAGTGAGGAAAGTGGTCAATTCATATGCAAATTGACAAGTAGATTTTCAGTTAGACATTGCATAAGTGCTATAAAGAAATTAAACAATTCCAGTGCTTTGGGAGGATGATGTGAGAGGATCACTTGAGGCCAGGTGTTCAAGGCCACCTGGGCAACATAGCAAGACCCCATCTGTACAAAAAATACAAAAATTAGCAAGCACGGTAGCATGTGCCTGTAGCCCTAGCTACTCTTGGTACTTGACAGGCTATGACAGGAGGATTGCTTGATCCCAGGAGTTTGAGGCTGCATTGAGCTATGACTGAACCACTCCATTCCAGCTTGGGCAAAAAATGAGACTGTCTCAAAGGAAGGAAGGAAGGAAGAAAGGAAGGAAAGATTCATTCAAGAAAAAATGTTTAGAGAAAATGTGGGTTAGAAGGTCATTTCTGCTGGCTTTCACAAAAGTCCCTTTCTGTGAAAAAAGAAAAAATCATTGATAGGCATTTGGGTTGGTTCCAAGTCTTTTTTATTGTGAACTGTGCCACAATAAACATATGTGTGCATGTGTGTTTATAATAGAATGATTTATAATCCTTTGGTTATATACCTAGTAACGGGATTGCTGGGTCAAATGGAATTTCTGTTTCTAGATCTTGAGGAATCACCACACTGTCTTCCACAATGGTTGTACTAATTTACACTCCCACCAACAGTGTAAAAGTGTTCCTATTTCTCCACATCCTCTCCAGTATCTGTTGTCTCCTGATTTTTTATTGATCACCATTATATGCAGCCATTAAAAAGGATGAGTTTATGTCCTTTGCAGGGACATGGATTATCCTAGAGTTATTTATAACATCAATAGGTTAGAAACATAACATCATTGAAAAGCTGGTCAAATCACTTTGGAGGCATCCACTTAATGAGAGTGCACGGAAATGGGTCGGGCACAGGGGATGGCATCTGCAATCCCAGCTACTCGGGAGGTTGTGGCAGGAAGATGACTTGAGGCCAGGAGATTGAGACCAGCCTCAACACTATAGTGAGGTTCCCTCTCTTAAAAAAAAAATGGCCAGGCGCAGTGGCTCACGCCTGTAATCTCAGCACTTTGGGAGGCCAAGGCAGGCGGATAACTTGAGGTCAGGAATTCGAGACCAGCCCCGCCAACGTGGTGAAACTCCATCTCTACTAAAAATACAAAAATTAGCCAGGCATGGTGGCAGGTGCCTGTAATCCCAGCTACTTGGGAAGCCAAGGCAGGAGAATTGCTTGAACCTGGGAGGCAGAGGTTGCAGTGAGCCAAGATCGTACCACTGCACTCCAGCCTGGCGCCTGGTGGCAGAACAAGACTCTGTCTAAAAAAAAAAAAAAAAAAAAAAAAAATCTCGGAACACAGTCCCCCAGATTTGACATTTTCTGAGAATAAAGCACAGTCCCTGGCCAATGAAAGATTTCTTTGAAGCAAAATTTCCCGCAAGGAGAAGGACATTCACAAAGATCAGAATTCAAAGCGTATTTTACTGTCTGCAGACCTATGGATCTGTGCAAAGCTCTCTCTAGGAATGGAAAGAACTCACTGACAGTTCTTTATTTTGAAGAATGTGGGTGGCAGCAGGGGTGCCCTGGGTGCCTTGCAGAGCAATGTGGCTCATTCTATACAGACACAAAGCCTCTGAGCTTCAGCTCCCACTTCCCTTGTAGGTAACCAGAACTTGCATCCTCACCTGCTAGAGAGTCAGCAGCAATGGTGAATTCCTCAAGTGAGGAGAGAAGAGATAGCTCGAATCCAAACGCCTGCTCTTTGGTTGAAACTGATGTCTCTGATGAGTGACGTTGCAGATTTAAATTTACTTGAAACTGTCTAAAAAATGTGTTTTGTTATTTTTTTACTGTTAAAGAAAACATAGAAAACCAGAGGGATGCCTTTCAAACTTCAGAAATAGGATGTACAGAGGAAGAGGACTCTGAGAGTTTGAATATGAACAAAGCAGGGGGCAATTTTTATGTTTCTCAGGCATATAATCCTCTCCAATGGACTTCTTTAGAGTTGATATTTCTTTTTTGTTGTTTCTCACACTGCTTCAGATATTTTCAGATAGACTCTTTGTTTTTTGTTTTTTAGATATACTGAGTTGGTCCTTAATATGGGAGCTGCCATCTCTGAGTTTTTTCTCAGTATATTTTGAATGAACTGCTGCTTGAGTTTCCCTGAGCGAGTAATTAAAGAGACTGTTCCTGTTTGTTTTCTGCAAACACAACAAACTATAATTCCTTATAAGCAGAGCTCAAAGGCAGGGAAACCATTTGTCTGCTGACAACCTTTTCTCAGAACAACCTGTGCTGCCCGTTCTAGCTGGGGCTGGACATCCATCCTGGCTCCCAACTGGTACCCTTGAGGTGAGGCCTGTGGGGCTGGGCTTAAAGCATAGTTCTGTTGATTAGAAGCTGCCTTTTGTCTCTCTGGGCCTGTGGAGTCCGCCTGTAGCCGTGCTGTGTCATAGGAATAGTCCTGGACTAAGACATAGGACCTTGAATTTAGCCAGTGATGAGCCCTGCTAGCTTTCAAAGGTCCCTGTGAGGGCCTTGGTGTCTTCCTCAGTTTAATGAATGCACTGGATGCTGTAATCTCTAGGTTTTACTCTGACACTAAGAATTTGTGATTTTGTCTTCGGATTACTGGTCCAAGAGCTCCTCCTGTCCTAGAGATGGAGATATCATGGCAACTCTCATGGATCTTTCCTTCTTTGAAGCAGGGGTGAATATAGAGAATGACAAAGAAAAAGTAAGACCGCAGTGATCTGTGCTATGAACAACACGGCTTGGGTAGGGCTAGTTCCTTCTACTGAATGGTCAAGAAGATGAATCTGCAGTCCCATCTGTTCAAAGTACAGCAGAAAGAAGTGACGCCAGGGATGGAGTGGGGAGCAAGGAGGAATGAGCAGCCACATCAGAGGGATCAGGCCTGTGATCTTGAGCAGAGTGAGGCACCCAGGGCTCCTGGTTCCTGGCACAACATCCACCGACCCCTCTAATCAGGAGAGCTTCCTGCTCTGCCCCTGACATGAATGAATGAAGGTAGTCATCAGCAGCATTGATTCTCTGTTAAGATTTCTCCTGCTCCTCCCTCATCACCAAGGCTCAGTTCAGACACAATTTCTTTCTCTCATTTTTTGCACAATGGCTTTACTGAGATAAATTCACCAACCATAAAAGTCATTTTTTTTCAAGGATGACTTTACGGTTAGTGAATCACAATTCAGTGGTTTTAAGTATAGTCACAGAGTGATAGGCAAAATTTCTCCATTTTGTAGGAGGAAGAAGGAACAAATGATAATTTGTATGATTTCAGATATCTGCACTTTTCATTCTTTTATTTTAAAATGTGACTATTAACCTGTTGGTTTTCTGTTTATTTTTCCTTCCTGCCTCTGATTGCTACTATTATTGTGCTCCATTTTTCCTTCTCATAATTTGTAAGCCATATATGGAACTTTTGTTCACTAATTGATTGCTCTTAAATTTTTATCAGTAATTTATACTCTTTTTTTTTTGTTTCTCTACATTAAAAAGTACCATTAACCTCCTCACCACCAGAAAAAAAAATAAATTAAAAAAACCCTAAAATCTTCACATACAAGTTCTCTCTTTTATTTCCCTCACTCCCACCATGTGGAAACCAATGGGCATTTTAATTTTGTGTTGTCATTAGCATATTAGATTTAAAATGTGTTTAACTGCATTTTGGCTTGCTACTACATTCTTGGTGTTCTGTATTTTACTCTTTTAGGCTCCTTTTTCATTTTGGTAGAATATACATTAATAATTCAGAGATGGTCAGAGAGGGGTCAAGTTTCTGAATGTTTGTGTCTGAGAAAATGCCTTTCTTCTTCTCTCTCTTGAATGCTAGTTTGGTTGGAAGCAGAATTCTAAATACAAAATAATCTTTCAAAACCATTCAGATGTTTTTAGAGCATTCAAGATGTCAAAAGTCTGATGTCAATTTGTTTGTGATTCCTTTAGAGATCATCTGGTGCCTTTTTTCCCTCTGTGATAACTTTTAGGATGTCTGGTTTCATTCATTTAACAATTGTTCAATGAGAAGTTATCATTTCCAGGACTCTATTCCAGATGCTGGAGGTAAAAATGTAAGGCGGAATTCCTATGACCTCCAGTTGCTTGCCTTGTAGTGGAGGGAACAAGAAGGTAAATAAACAAGCACAGCACATGGTCTGTCATGGACGTAGGTTATGGAGAGCCATGGCATTGGCAATGGGGAGTGGCTGAGAGTCAACGTTTTAGATACGAAGACAGGAAAGGAATCACTGAAGTGACCTGTGGCCAGAGACATGAAGGAGTTGTGGGAACAAGTGGTGCAGATATCAGAGGAAAGAATTTCATGTGCAAAGGCCCTAAGATGGGGGCATGGCAGAGATGTTTGAGGAAAAGCAAGGAGTCAAGATGTTTAGTTGGCGAATATCAATGATGGGGAAAACTGCAGGAGGTAAGATCAAAACGCAGAGCGGGGAGGAGGGCTTACACCCCATAAGGCCTTCCAGACCATTTCCAAATCTTGATTTGACTCTGAGGAGGGTGAGAAGCCATTGGAGGACTGGGATAAGAAGAATGACATCTTGTAATGTACATTCTGAAAGGTTACTCTAGTTGCTGAGTTGGGAATAGGGGAGACAGGAATAAAAGACAGGAGAATTTGTGGGCTTGTTGTAATAATCTCACTGCGAGATAATGTGGCTGAATTCCAGTTGTAGCAATGTAGGCAATGAAGAGTCGACCAACTCTATGTTTATTTTATGTAAATTTCATAATTTTTAAATTTAGAAATACTTTTACACAAAACATTCACAATGTTATAAGGGTGACATAAAGTGCTCCAATATAACCTTCACCCAGATTCCCAGATTGTAATCTTTTCCACATTGGCTTTTCTCTTTTTGTAGATACATACTGTAATTTTTTAGGATCTATTTGAGAACAAATTGAAAGCATGCTACCTTTAGCCATATAGTATGCAGTGTATATTTTATAAGAACACATACAACCACTACCATGGTCAAAATCAACCACATACAATGCGTAAGATCAGGAAAATAACATGGATGCGATTCTATTATTAAATCTGCAGACTGTGTTAATATTTGGTCAATTGCACCAGTAATATCTTTATTTAAAAAAAGACTTTATAGAATAATTCTGGTCCAGGGATTGTATGTGGACTAATATGAGAGACAGGGGATAGAATTTGCTGAAGGAATGGAGGTGAATTAGGGGAGAAAAAGGAATTAAGGATAACTGTAAGGATTTTCACTTATGCAAGTAGAAAATAGAGTTAGTATTACTAGTGAAACTGTGAGGACTTCGCAAGGAAGAAGTTTATGTGTATATCTGGGGCACAGGAATTCAGCTTATGATATACTAAGTTTGAGATATTTATTAGACATAGCAGTGGATATGTGAATTTGTTCTTTGTGATTTGAAATTCCATTTTTATGTGTTTTAAATGTGAGTCTTTTCTAGTAGTTTGACTCAGCACTGGGTGGGACCTTTCAACATAAATATTTTATCTTTTGTATGTATAGAAAATGTCCTTTAATTATTTATCTGAGCATTTCATTTTCTTTTGCTGTCTCCAGATGATGTTGGAACTTCTATTAATAGTTTTGTTCTAGGTTCTTCTTAGCTTTTCTTTTAAAACTTCCTTCTCTTGGCCTTTTTTGGTTCTATCTGTGGGAGTCTTCTCAACCTTCTTACAAGCTCACTGATTATGTGGTTTGGTACATTTTAATTAAAATAACAAGTCTGAGTCTTATTTCACACCACTCTCTTCTCTCTGAGCACATATAAAGTTCATTTTTTCCACTTTGCCCTCTTAGCAAACCAATGCGTCTGTTAGTTCTTTGGTCTGGGAAATTTGTTATCCATCTAATGTGGCATTAGCTTTCCTAAAATGTTCAGTGACTATTCCTTGTCTTCTTACCACTGAATGTGATATGAAGATGTCACCCATTGTGGATGGAGGTACCTGAAGCATGTACTTTCCTTTTCCAAGCACAGACTCTTCAATTTCTGTTTGATTTGGGGACACACTCTCCTAGGTGGGTGCCAACTCGCTCCAACCCTTATAACGTTTAAACTTGAATAATCCTTCTCCAACACTTTATTCTGTTGCCAAAACAAGCTTTCAAAACTGAAATATTGAGATGTCATTTAGTATTCTAAAATTCTATGCATCCCTCATAATTTTCAGAATAAAATGGAAAATCCTTAGAGTGGCAACATGCCATATGTATGGCAAGCCTCATCTAGATTCTCACCCACATTCTCCTCATGTGTCAAATGTTTCAAGCACAGCAAACTATTAGTCATTCTGCGAATGTGCATCCAAGCCTTCGCCCAGAATCTTCCCTTTCCCTGGAGTGCTTTATTTCCTCCTCCCTACATCCAGAACTTCAATGCATCCTTCACGATCCAGTAATTGCTACATATCTATACTCAAGCATCTTTTATTTTATTTTGATGCCATCATCCTCCAGCACATCTTAAATAACTACTGCTCTTTCTGAATTCTTGCAGCATTTTTCACATACCTGTAGGTGTTTCTGTAAATAATTGATGTGCCTCTTTCTCTCCTTCCAAACAGATTTAAATGCAGAAATGTGTTTTATTCATTTCAGAATCTTAGCAACCTATTGGAAAATAGACACTTAGAGTGATACCATTTGATTAATCAATGAAGTAAGACATCCCAAAGTAGGTTATACTTGTTTGTCTGTTTTAAAATGATGAGGGAAGGGGCTCTGGTGACTAAAGTCTACATGCTAATGAGTGTTTGGATTATTTAACGTTATTTTGTAGGGTGCTACAAATTGTGTAGGACTCTCATTTTGCAGGCTGGTCTCTGATGTTGGCTTTACCATAGGATACTTATAAAACAGCCACAGAAACCACTTCCATATCACACTTCTGACATTGACGTCGTCCTCAGGCCACGGACAATAACCACCGAGGCCCGAGCAAGGCTGCGAGCAAGGTTTTGGGGAAGGAATTGCTTAAATACAAGGGAATAGCCACTAGGCAAGCTTCAGGCAGATCTGAGGAGCTCTCTTGCATGTGGGATGAGATCAGACTGGAATCCTGAGTGAATCATGCAGGCAGGATGGGAGAATCCTTGTGCACCAGGATAAGGGAGAGGCTTGT